GCTTTCCAAACCACTATAATAAAGCCTCTTTTTAATCAGTACTTTTTAAGTTATGAGAGTTGAAAGTTACGGAACCGCCGCGGCATTAATAGTATATGTATATATAAAATTACACTTAAAAAATTCCATACTTAAAAAAATTTTTAGTAAAAATATCTGGAAAATCTAGAAATTTTCAGAGAATTGTTTCAGTAAAAATTTCAGTGAATCTGTTATTTATTATGTAATTTGTGGTTTTTTTTTGTTAATTAATCGTACACACACACTATAGGTATTCTCGAGAACAATCTTATAAATCTATTAATTACAGGTTCTATGTGGGTATACAAGGAGTATGAACCAAACTATGATCCAGCATTAGGGAAGTATTGCAATAAGACACTATATTTATTTGCCTTCTGGCTAATTACGTCGGTCTACATATGCATGGGTATCATAACGGCCGGCCTGTGCAGCATTTCCGTAGCTAGTATTGCGTTTCAGAGACCGCCGTCGGACTTGATGTGAAATAACGTTGTTTAGTCGCTTTGTGTCGACGTCTCTGAAATGACGCTCATCTACGCTCTACATTTGACATAATCAGAATGGTATTTATTGAACGAAAGAACTCCTATTGTCTACACACCATGGATGATAAGTGTGCACAATTTTGCATTATATACACTCGATTTTTTTGTATCGAGGTATCATCGATATCATCATCCCGCGTTCCTCCTTCTCGCTGATCGATAAAATACAAACGGCTCATTCTTATATTTATATTAACGACGATCGAAAGTTGAAATATCGAATTTGTACATAGATATGTGCCGTATAAACGGAAAAAAATCTCATTTTAGGAGCAAAGAGAGTCACTCGCCAAGAGCATCATTGCTCCCTGAAACGAGTCGCTTCGCGCGACAAAGTGCAAATTTCGTCCACGTTTACGTACCTGAGATGCTTAAACGACTTCGAAGAAAATCGTTGGCACGTTAAACGCACACACTAGACGCGCAGGCGCGCCGGCGCGCGATCCAAGTTTCAAGCAAGATCATATAGGCTGCGTTCCGTTTCACGCATGATGCATCTTTTATCCTTGTTATTCACCGAATGTTAAACAAGGATAAATGATGCATGATGCACATCATGCGTAAAACGGAACGCAGCCATAAATGACTTTTTACGATGCGCAAACGAGCGTGGTAGCTTATTGAATAATTCGACTGTTGTGACGAGATCCTTGATGCCGTAATAAATGCGGTGAAACATACATCGAAGTCGGTTATCTCTCTTGAAGCCTCTCGAGAAAGCCGGGACTAGAAGCGAAAAGAAAACAGTCGCTTCGACCAGATCAAGGGCTGTGTGTACGTCGCGTTACTCGCGAATTTTTTTATCTTGTGCCAAGTGGACGCGAAGTCGCAGACCAAAGTATTTTGCTATCACAATGTTGCTAACGCCAGTGCGCCACAGATTTTACAAATTCGTTTGTAAACTCGCTTAGAACTCGTACCGAGAACGAGTCGAATGCGAATGCGCGACTCGCATTATGCTTAGTACAGATGACGACGCTTTGATACGACGGTCTAATTTTACGATATAAATGTTAGGTATCGCATCGTTTTCTCGATAACACTTTATCTCTGTTAAGCACTTTATGACCTTTACGGACTTGACTATAATATAGTACGCACTCTACTTACTCATGACTTGTAACTTACCTATTGTTAAAAGACTGCGATCTCTTACGTGACAATTTTATCTATTTATTCGCCCTGTCCTCCGTCCTTTTACGTCTCGATAGATTTACAGAATCTTCATGTCTCTTGACGCAATTCGTTTTTTTACGAGGAATATTACAGAGTTGTCACAGACCGAGAAAACCAGAAAAAATCATGGAAATTTAAATTAATCATGGAAAACCTAGAAAAGTCAGAGAAAAATATAAGTCTGGAATTTTTCGAGCTTTATTCCCTTAAAATGTTTTTATTCCAAACAATTGTTATAATTTTTTAAATAATATATCTAACAATTGTGGTCAAATACTGATTTTTTTAGTCAGTATTTCAAACTGTATACTAGGTCACGTATCGGTCATTATATTAAAGGAAATATAATTCTTTTTTAAATGTAAAAATTAGACATTTCTTACAATGTCAAGTTTAATTTTTGTTTTAATTTCCGTATAGTTTAATACAAAACTTAATTAACTTTAATTACACTTTGTTATTATAATTAAGATACATTTTCTGTTAAATATATTTGATCTGAAAAACCTGGAAAGTCAGAAAATTTTAAAATTCATTTTCTGTGGCAACCCTAAATAAGTCGCGCGAAGCAATCAACTAGAAAAGTACGGATGTATATGTTTTTCTTTGCGTGTTTATCTTAAAAACTAAAATTGACAGTATTTGTCAGTATTGTAGGAACTTGCTAATCTTTAAAAATCAACATGCTCTGCCGGGTCGTGTAATATATTTGACGACGTCATTAAATTTGTTATTCGATTAAATGATTATATTATCAAGTATAATATCGAATATCGCTGTATATAACTCAATACTAGTGTTTCTCCCACTTTCGTATAACTTTATCAACTTTTCCTAACTGAAGTTTAGTCTTCCTCTTTCAACTCTTACGTTTTGTAAATGTAATTATCGTCAGCATAAAACTAGTTATAAGTTAGACATAGACATACAAAAGTAATTCGAAAAGCTCTCGGCCTGACATAGAAATAACGCTACAAATATCAAACTGGTATAATTTTAGAGTTTGATCCTACACAGGGCTGCTGTTAAAATTTCAGATAGATGCGTTCATTAGTTTCTTTGTTTCGTGTAAAATAATCAACTTTTGTTTTAATTTCCTCCATCAAGACAATGCATTCGCTCACATGTCTTCAATTGCAGTCGCAAAATTCCATGAATTTATTCTACAGGTACATGTACCGTATTTTACCAAATCTGATCTTGTGGAACCAATTCATGAAATTTTGCGACCACAATTGAAGAAATGTGAGCAGGTGCTTGTTGTTATGATGGAATCGAAAGTTGGTTGCTTTACACGATCGAAACAAAGAAACTAATGAACTGTCTGATATTTTAACAGTCGCCCTATGCAAGATCAAACTTCTCTAAAATTATAGCAGTTTGATATTTGTGGTGTTATTTTATGTCAGGCCGACAACTTTTCGAATTACCCTATAAAGTAGCAGGCACAGAAAATAATTGTGCCTGTGTAGCTGTGACGCGCTCATGAACGTGCTTGTATTTCGATTATATACAATAACCGAGTTTGCGCTTTCAATTTCGCGTTTAATATATTTAAAAAAATATGTATATAATGCCAATTATAATTGCAAATATATACACACGCACGCGCACATATATGTGTATCACTAATACAATTTATTGAATAGATATAAAGATAATAAGTGATAACAAAACCGTTAACTTTATTGTTATTTTAATCATTTATTATTTTTATATCTATTTAATAGATTGCATTATTTATAATAAAGTAAATTTAGAATGTGCTCTTAATAATAAGATTAATGTTTAAAAACAATGTTTAATAAAAATTTTTAATAAAATTTGTAAATTACTATTTAAATTCCTAAAGATAAGCATTTATTAAAAAACAAAAATATTAACATAAGGAATTATGGAAGATTTATTAAATAAGTTTAATATAAAAAAAACTAATAGAGACTAGCTTAGAGTTTCAAGTTGTATTTATGTGATATTGATTGTTACAATCAATATTAAATAAAAATTATTAAATAATGTAGTTTTTTTATCTAATATCTTATTTTAGCATTACAAAAAAATAACGAATCGTTACTTTTTAAATAACGGTAAAACTATAACGCGTTATTTTTTAAAATTAGTAATAAAAACATATTCGTTTAATTTTGTTTTACATTACTTATGCGAAAGAAAATTAGCATATTGTGTGTAACAATACAAGGAGTGTAATACGCTCACAAATTGATTAATCGACTGCTTGGAGCCGGCGGCTCATGTATTTCATCACAATCAAAGACTGTCGATTCGAGACAATGTCTTTTCCTGATAATATTCTTCGTGATAATCTTCCGGGTAATCGGAGGACTCTTCGATCTTTGACCAAACATTACCTTCGTCTTTGTTGATCGAGGATTCTGTTGATACCTACGCGAACACGATATCTTGTCAGATCGAAATGTTTCAGGATGCATTACGTTAAGTTTTAATCCCATCGGATACTGGTGATATATCATGTCAGGGTAACGAGAAGTGACATAAACATGATTTGAAAAGAAAGACTATCCTCTGCCCGGATATCGTAATTCTATTAATGATTACGGAAGTCCATAGTCTGGCGACGCGCTGGAAATAACTACCGGATATTCGCTAGTCTTGTTAATATAAAGCGATCGATTAAAATTCATTTTACCGGAAGAATCGTTTCCGCTTCCGATGACGCAGACAGTGTATTAAGGAAATCCTACCCTCTTTAGGGAAAGGGGATTGGATATAGATCGCGAACTCCCAATTCCGCTTTTCAATATTAATACGTTTTCGTAGTTGCCTATCTCCGAAATGAAACAAATATAACTATGTGTCAATGCTATAAAACTTTAAAATCCACCTTTAGCTGATTCACCGATTTCCTATTGACTATTCAGGGGATCAGCACTACCCTATCGGTATACGTGCATTAAAACAGCTCGTATGAAGGACAATTACAACGCAGTATTTAAATTATCAAATATATGTGATGATCATGATTATATGATTTTGATTACTTCTTCTCGCAGGGGTACTGCTTCCGGCGGCAATAACTCCGGGTTATAAGGAGTGATACAACGCGCGCGCCACATCGGTAGAAAGCCCATTTTCGGAGATTCTTCTTTCAACTTTTTGTTGTCATTATCGGTTTCCTGCATTATATAATTTCTTATTTTATATATATATATAAATTATAATCTATAAATAATATAATAATATACTTAAATAATATACATATAATATAATGTATATTATATTTAAAACATAGTAATATTATATATGTTTTAATATTTTTGTTTTGTATTAAATATATATATATATATTTATATTTTATATACATTAAGATATTTTAAATATTGAATATTTAAACTCAGATAAAAAAAACGACATAAAAACTTCATTGAGAGAATTTTACTTCCACCATGATTTTATTCATGTTTATCAAAGTTGAGCCATCAAATATGGGATCTCTCACATGTATATAATGACCATGCTGCATACACACGTTCTCAAAAGTGAAGCAACCACGTCCGTACGGCTGTATTACATATAATATCTCTATTAATTAAATATATATTTCTTGGGTCTTGATCAATGCTGCCCAAGATTTATAATTCTAGGCATAGCTTGATGTATATATTTTTACTTATTGCCTTTTTGTTTCTTAATAAAGATAGGCGTCGACATACGTCAAGTTTATGCCTAGAATTACAAATCTTGGACAGCAAGCATTGATCTAGGCTTTTATAAATGAGATGCTCTTGTCCTACTTGGGACTCGTGATCTGAAGGTATGTATATAATCAACACGCCGCAATTACTTTTCTGTTTTCATTCCGTACCAAATTCAACCTCCAAAAACCATGAAAATGATAGCGCGCATAAATAAGTTGTCCGGGTCCTTGCATACGGTCTTCCATCCACGTCCCCATAAATTTCGTCTCTGTGTCAGCGTATAAATACGTTCCTATACCATGACGAAGATCATCCTTCCACGAGCCCTCGTAAATGTCATTGTTCACATAATAATAAATGCCGAAGCCGTGCTTCGTGTCGCGTCTCCATTCCCCTAAGCAGATTAATATTTAACACATCATCGAATTTTATCTGTAACGAATAATTATTGCCAATCAAAGTCAAGTATCATCGAGATCTTAGCGAAGATCTAGAGTTGTTGCGGCTTGTCGCGCGTATTTATCTCTTTCGAAAATTCCTGGCACACTCTTAGCATCTCTAAAATGACGTGCGACATAAAAATAATTGTATGAATATACATATGAACGTGTCGACATGTCCACGTGCTTACAGTGTGACTTCCTCGAGTCTGATTCGGATCCTATTTTTGTATTATACATTCTTCCGTACCTTCGTATCGCGTTCCGTCAGGGTACCAAAAGATCCCTTGCCCGTATTTCTGTCCATCTCTCCAATCGCCGTTATATCGGGCACCGTTTTTAAATACGTAGATACCTTTGCCATGCCTAAATCCGTTACGATATTGACCGACATATATGTCACCATTTGATAGCAAAGTCTTTCCGTTTCCATGCCTCTCGCCATTTTCATTTCTTTCGCCCTCATAGATCTGCGATCATTCGCCAAGAGATGTATAAATGCCAACAAAGACGTTTTAATATATGAATAAATTAGTGTACAGCTATTACAAGACGCTAAACATAATTTTCTGCTAGTATACAATTCGTAAAAAGAAAAAAAAGGACCAATATAACGATCTTGTTTAATTATTCATGTACCCCTAATGAATTAATCTCTAGTTTTCCATGTTCATCCGGATTCGGTCCTGTTAACGAGTTTTCCATTCTTCATCATATTTTGTCGGTTCACGTAGCCTAATCAACCTAAATTTCGATTGTTTAGGCACCAATCGATTTTTACATTCCGCTGATTGTCCTTTATCGATTGGTATATAATGCGTGCGTAAATAAAAAAATTTGATATTTTAGGGACTCTGTCATCTATCTTAAAGGAAAATAAGTATGAGGACGATTCATATCGGAAGAATAATATTAAGAATAAAATCGAGATATATAACAAATTTATAATTAAAATTTTATTGGCGTATACTCTTGCAATGCAAAATAGTCGACGATGAAATTAAATAATGTCGTAATTCACAATGTTCCTTTATCCCAAACTATCCAGGTGTATGTGTATATGTGTGTGATGGTTGATTATTTATAACTTTGTTGGTGAATAATCAGAACATAATAAATAGAATTTCATCTCGTCATCGACCAGTCAGCAGTCCGATTAATGTTTGTTTCTCCTTCTCTTTCTTGCGTACAGACTCCAGATTTCTTTGTTTCCATGAACTCTTCCGAAGTTTTATCGGACGCGATCCTACATATCGGCCTAAAACAAACACAATTATTAAAAACACAAATAGATTGGTTCGTTGCATATTAAGAACCAATGTGCTACAATTTAACAATGAAAATTATAAAAGTGCTCGTCATGATCATGTATTAATTTTTTTAGCAATCATTTCGTGCGATATTGTTAATACATATTAAAAGTTCAGTGCCTCCTAGTGGTCAAGAAAGGCAATTTGGGCAAAAAAGAAAATATACATTGAACTTAGTTTTGACCTTTCTACATATTCACCAAGTTTCATCAAGATCAATTATTTACATCTAAGAATTACGTTCCCTTGTTAGATGTGTGAAGAAAACGTGGGTTTGTAATTATGTATTAAATAATTATCTTTTTTTTATCAAGGTCACATCTAATAAGTTTAATCTACCTTTTACCTCCACCGTGAATTTCAGTCTAAGATAGTAACGTTAAAGGTCTTTAATAAAGTATGAGATTCATTTACTACGAGAACGATGTCGTTCATGTATTTATAATAAAACCCTAAAGCGCGCAAAGGAAAGTCTTTGTACGGAATTACTAATTAGAGATGTAAAAAACAGATATTTTCGACTTCGGAGAAAAATATCAAGTAAAAAACGAGTTTTTTTACGATGAAAAACATTTTTAATCACATATGACATAAAATTTATGAAAAATATATAGAATTCATATTAAATATACAATTGTATAGAAAAAAAAATAGAACTCATTTTTCTTTATATTTATTGTTAAAGTATTTGGTACCTATGTTATTTCGACATTATTTAATATTGCTTTATCTTTATAATTTCATATCGAAGTGGAAATGCGTTGTTGCAATGTTTAATGAGTTGATAATGTCTTTTTGAAATTAGTGCCTGAGAAAGAATTGATTTTGATACTATAAGCTGTGATATCGAAATTAAAATATTACGGAAAGATGCTTATGTGATCAAAGATGAAAATGTTTGGATATCCAAAAGTAGGATTCATTCAAGTTAAAGTCATCGCAATCGAGAGGAGAATTCGGATCAGTTGTGTATGTTTGATCAACGTATTGCGAGGTTGCACTGCGGGCCAACGATTAATCTCAGGTCCTGCGAGTACCTCAAGCAATTACGAATCATATATCCGTTCTATATTCATCATATCCTGAATTCCATCTCATATATTACACGCGCACGCGACCGGACGAGTCTTTAATCTGGCGTTGCGTTTACTTGTTCGTTTGTTCAAACTACTTGTTGCGTCCACTCAGTTTTGCGAGATACTCCTAGCTAGATACTCTTTCTTTCCTTCTCTTTCTACTGCCTAGTGACTTTAGCCGTAGCAATAGGATCTTTCTCGTTTTCCTTTTTCTCTAATTCTTTCCTTCTCACTCGATAACAAAATGTAACATAAACCTTGAACGAAATCGAGAAAGAAGCAGAGATCTTAATTGATGAAGAAAAAATTTTGCCCATTTTTATGTAAGTGCTAAGCTGCTTACGTATAGTAATTACGTATAGAAACTTAACTAAAATGAAAGATTATTGTTAGAAGATCAAAATGTTCCACAGTCACAATCCTTTAAGTCTACTGTTCAGAAATATATTTTTTGAAACATTGAACAAATTGACATATTTTGACATGAAATATAAAATATTGTATCTCATAAACTATTCATTTTTTTTTGTCACTGTACCTTAATACATCTTTTCGCACAAAATAATAAAATGAATCACTTGATGTAAAGAAAATACAAATAGTTGCTTTTAAAATAAATTATCGAATTTGCAATATAAGTATAATTATATATCATTTTTAAGAAGCAATTATGTGGTTTCTTTACACCAGTTGATATTACTATTTTATGCACATTTTACTACTCTGTAAAGTATTAAGAATAAGTAATAAAAAATTAATAATTTACGAAATATTTTATATTTCATGTTAAAACGTTCCAGAATAAAATATATAAACTATTGATTATAATTTTACTTTAATGCTATTATATGCAGAATAATTATAAAAAGAATATATTATGTAAAAAAAAATCATCTCATTTCATTAAAAAAATAGCGATGACTTTTTTATGTGATCTTAAAAAATGATTCTGGTAGACTTTTTTCTCAGATTTAAATATTAGATATTTAGTAGCTAGTCTATTAATTCTTTTATCAATATCAGATTTATTATTATGCACAAGAAGCCCAAAATGGGCAAGGTCTCTTATGCTAATTTTTACCTGCAACGTTCGCCAATGTTCTGGAATGTTAACAAATAAGAGACCTCAATCGCTTTCATGATTACACGATGAGGGAGGATATTTTATGTTACGTGACAAATCTTTCTGCGGAATCCCACGTATCGGTTCGTCCGCGACCACAGAAATTTCAATAAATTTCCATGCGTACCTATACTTTGTGTATAATTCATTGATCTTTAGCGCGCTTATATTTCATTGTACGTTACGTACGTCGAAGACTGAACGTATAAGTTGACAAATGAATATAAATAACATCATTTTACAACATTCTTTGGATGCTCGTTTGATTGCCTTTCATCGAGTCCGAAATATTTTAATAATCGGCGTTATCTGATGGAATCGCAATAGACGACGTCCATAAACATTTATATCTCGTATTATCGCTATAAATTTAATTCAGCCGATTATCTTTAATCAAATATGTGCTAAGATGTACTTACAAATAGATATATTCACAACTGCTTTCATACATGCACGTATGCACAGAAAACTCCTTTTTTAATAGATTTTCTATTGCAAATTAATTTTCTACATAAAATATAATATTATAGTAACACTTAAATAAAAGACTATATTTAATATTTCCCTTCATTGCTTTCTTTAAATAAATTAATAAATTTTGCTTTCAATTTGATCATACAAGATTTCCCCTTTGAAGAAACATCCGAATTCATTATAAATTGCATCTGATAATTCCAAGTTGCTCCATTACGTTTCTTGAAACAGTACTTAAGAATACTGATGACATTTTACATGCATCCGTAAATCGATACAGTACTGTATAGAAAATACCTGTACTTCTGACCTGTAACTTTTCTAGTCTATTCAAAATGAAAAGAAATGAGAGAAACCACAATGATAATAGCAATGACGACAATGATGAGAAATAATAGATAAGTAAAGAGAGAAAAAAATAAAAGAAACGGCAAATAACCGGATCACAGCCTGTTCCGAGATTTTTGATTGGCTGTCGCTAAAGAGAGTGGGGTATTATTACGAGAATTTGTAGTAGAAGGTAGGGGTTGCTGAATGAGTAGCGGAACGCTCAGCCTCCTGACGCACTTGGTCGCATCCACCCCAACGGATAACCGGCAAACCGTACAGCCGTGCGGTTTCGCATCTGAGCCGCGAAACCACCCCGTATTTACTCCGAGAGTGTATGCCGAGGAAAGCGTAAATCGAACGAACGAACGAACGATAGTGGCATATTCCAAAGGTATGTGTTCTCTTCAATATAAAAATCAGATTTTTTAAATTAACTGATAAGATAAAATACATGGAACTTATAAAACGTGATACTAACTTGACGTATCCTTTCGCGGATTCTCTAATTTTACGACGATTATTATATAATTTTGATGTCGATACGAAATTTTGACAATAGTTTGACGTTACTGGAAACATCTATATGGACTAACATCATGTATCTCATTGCGGTCATGTATTTTCATTATTTTTGCAAAAACATCAGTTGTGTGTCCAAATGTCTCGCAGTACCCCTTGATTTTTTTACTCCGCCTGAGCATAACGTGAAGAAATAATGTTTTTCTTCTCCACAAACTTGTTTAACTTGTTACGCTGTATCGTATGGGTGTGCGTGAATACGTATGTGATACACATAAATATGTGAGTGCTAAAATTAGAAGGAATGTTATATAAATAGTATCGCCGTTGTAGAAATTTCATGGGAGAAGAACGTAAACAGCATACTCGCCTGTCGACAAAATCACTATTGTGGTGACGATTAATGTTCGCCAAGTGACAAATGGACCAGCGAGCTTTCGCTCATGATGCATCAAGCGCGCGGGGCATACGATAGAAGACTTTTTGCACTTCAATACTCTTTAACATTATTTCTATCCGTAAATACTCGTTTCGAAACGAATTCCTATGGATGATGTTACAATACACCGCTAAAACTATGCCAATAGCTGCGTTCAACAGAGAAAACTAATCAGTTAGCGATTAGCGATTCTTTAATACGATTGGTTCCTACGTTTAGATTTAGCGAAAAACTAAAGGCAAGAACCAATCATATTAAAGCGAGTATATTAGCTAAGCGCTAACCAATTAATTTTCTCTGCTGAATGCAGCCAATGTTTACGTTCCTCAATGATGTGTTTGTCACTCGTATTTCAGAACGTTTAGAATAGAAACAAAATACTTAGAGAGAAATCGAATAGCATAACAATGAATTATATATTTCGAGAGCGAGCAAAACAATTTTTAATAATTATAATTCGTATTAGATCCACGAGAATAAATCAATTAAGAGAAATAATTTTATTTTCGGTCGAAGCGGATCTTAGTGCTTAAGTATTTCACACACACATAAATACAGTGAATTTATGAATTTATATGCATCCAATTTTGCAAACCATACGCTGAAATCTCTCTGTCTTGAAACGCAATCATGAATAGAACTAGAGTAGTAATATCACATAGGTAGAGCTTTTTCGTCCATTTTTCGCAATAATGTTTATGTTTCTGAACAGCACATGTTGATTATTTAAAGGTTGCATTCTCAAAAAGCAATCATGATTATATAATATATAATTATAAGCACGTCACTGCAAAGAGATATTGTTTGCTATCGTAAATTTTTGAAGTTAAAAACTGATGGAATAGTTTTGTCCTACTCTATTAAATTGACAAACAAATTAATAATTTTTGATGCGCATAAGCATCTTAAAAACTGTAAATAATTTATTGCAAAAATAATTTTTAATTTTTACTATGACTAACTGAGAAGAGTCTTATTCGATCAAAATTTAATTTTACAATTAGTGCCCAATAATATGTATTTCTGTCTGAATTTATATTCATTTTTTTATACTTGTATGAAAAAAAATTTCTCGTACGAGTAAATACATAAGTAGATACAAATAAATTTATTTTAACAAGATTCACTAAACGCCACATTTCACTTTTAAGCTGTACGGCTCATAAACATAAATTTATTTGTCAAATTCTTGCGCTATCAATTTTATAAAGTCAATTGTAATCATACGCGATATTTTATAAATAATTACTCAATATTATTTATAAATGTCTTACTAGATTCAAGTGTATTCCAATTTCTTTCTTTTTTTAGAGTTTTTTGCGAATACGAAATTAGAATGGAAACAGTTTCTAAATTGCTCCGAGTATTGATACTCAACATATTGTGGGCAATAACCAGTTATGCGGCGCCGCTGTTAGACACAAAGGACATTTGGAGTCAAAATGTTTTCGCACCTGTAATCAAGGCATGCTCTTCTGACGGACAATGCTGGGGATGGTTACCGATATTGGAAACGCATGATGGCAATGTCATATTAAAAGAAGATAGCGATATCTCAAGGTATACACATGTGCAATGTATATACTTTCCTCCTGATAGTAGGTCTGTTTTTTATTCCTGCATTTTCTGGTCTGGTGCACGTCTGGTGATTTTTGCGAACGGTTAGCTTCGCAAAAATCGGTCTCAAAATCATGGGTTCAGAATGCATTTCTCGACTCTAGCTAAATTTCAAGCTTTATCGATTGATATAGTCGATTTTTCCAAAGTCAACATGGGGGAGAGGGGTGGGATCTTGACCAAAATTCGATTCATGCCTTTTCCACCACTATGCCGGTGAGAAACTTTTTTGTCAAACTTCAAAAATTGTTTGGGGTGATGGGAGGATGGGACCTGGGGGGGGATCGATGATCCCCCTCGAGGACTACATTAGTGCCGACCTCCTATCTCCCATCTCTCCCGAGATATGTCCAAAAAACTATTTTTCGCCAACTACCCCGAGGGAGTAGGGGGGTAAGATCTCGACCAAAATTTGATTCACGACTTTTCTACCAAGATTCCGTAAAAAAAATTTCGATTTAATATATAGATACATATATGAAATTAAAGTGATATCATACTTTAGTATCATACAAATATAAAACAAAGATAAGATATGATGTCTCAGAGAGCACGCTATACAGGATGTATATATTATAAAGGGTGGAATAGTAACTCTATCCACTTAGAATCCACTCTTTTTAAAGATATAAAATAATATATTTACTGATGTTGTATAGCATTAAGAGGGGTACAATATGCTACTAGTAATTTTTCTATGGGTGGAGACGTTATTTGTGATTAATCTTTGAATATTTTCTTGTGTCTGATAGATTGCAATCTCGACGCCACGTAGCAAGTCCGGTATCTGAATTTATGTTGACATCATGGAAGGATAATACGTTAGAAGAGCCGGGACGGGAGATTCGAGCATCTTTGTCAACAAACAAACAGATACCTATTAAAATCACAAAGAAAGATGTATTTGTATCTCGTAATTGGGGTGCCGGCGGCATGCCTTTCTCTGTTTTGTACATGAGTCCGCGATCGAATCATGCTGTTGCAACATCGAGTAAGTGTTAGTGCAATATTAACGTGGAAAAAAGAAATAGAGCTTTATAACATATTTATAAGTAATATATATTAATGTATTAATAGCGACTCAACGACAAGAATCTAGCGCAACAACCGAGAGTTTGACGTCTTTCGCAGAACATTCGAACTCGCGCGTTGGTTCACGAAATGGTCAATCTACCACACAACCAAGAAAACAATATTGGACCATACCACAGCTGTTTATATCATACGGCTGGGGTTCCATTGGAAAATAAAAACAAGTAACAATGATGTATAATGTTGAGGATGATAGACATATCACATGAAGAAAAATGAGAAAGAGAGAAATTAATTTTCACGATAGAAATAGCTAATGAATGCAGAACAATTGTTAAGTTTTATTGCAACTGTAATGCATTTTGATTAAAATTGTAGCTTACATTTATTTCTTCATGCAATATTTCTTTTAACATATAATGACACATATTAAATTTTCTATTTAAAATATATTATGTTAAGTGAACAATAACACTCCAAAACTATAAAAAATATCGATGTTATAATCGAAAAATATTTTCTGTTCTACATTTATTATAAAAAAATAAATATCTGACTCACCATTCATTTCCTTCATTGCCTTGATAAAATCTTGTGGATCTTTAAAGGACACAAATCCGAAGCCTTTGGTTTTATTTGTCCGTTTATCTCTAACTACCTTAGCCTTTTGAAAACTGGGATACTTTCCAAATACCCTCACCAGCATTTCGTCGGTAACGTCATTCCCCAGATCTCCGCAAAATATCCTAAAATCATCTAGACAATATACAGAATACTGTTATATAATTTTTTACAAGAGAAATCTAATTATATCACTTAGATAAATATATTCATTACCATCGTCCCATTCTAATAAAGAGGGATCTTCCCAGGTTTGCCCACCAGCAGTCCTTATAATTTTCTTGTTTTTCTTCCCTTTACCCTTGGGATGACTCTCTTCTGCGCTAGCGTTAGCCATAATGGAACTTGCTTTTCCTTGACTGATAGCTAACTCAGCCGCTGTACTGACACCTTTAACCTTTGGCTTCTTTTTACCCTCATCTTCAGGAATCTTTGTATTAATAATTTGTTCAATAATTTCTGGATGGATCATTGGTGTTGATCCAGAATCATATGTTTTTGGTGTTGCACTTAAACATGGATCCACCATATTTGACATATATGGATTACTTATTTGTGCAGGTGAGGAGTACGTTGTAATAGGAACTGAACCTGCAAAAATGGTAACCGACTTGTAAAGCAAACTCTTGTATTATTTTTAGACACGACACAAAAAATATTAATCTTACCTTGTCGCGCTACTTGCTGAGGAATTAACATCGGTGGTGGTGGGGGAGGAGGTGGAGGTGGTGGTGGTGGTGGAAACCCAATCATTGGAGGAAACGCTAATGTTGCTGCTGCAGCTGCTGCAACTACTGGCGTAGTAAGTTCATGTTGTTCCAATTGTCTGGCAACCTGATTATATGTGTTTGCACCGATTACTGGTCTTACAATTGGTGTTACAAGTTGTCCTCCAATCTCAGCTTCAAATCTGAAATTTATATTTAATAAAAATAAAGTAAAACTGAAATAAATACCGATAAAACTTTTAATCGCATACTATTCATTTTCTCCAAATATATCGTTGTATAATTTGTTATCACCATATCAAAGTTACATATAGAATACATTTAGAACATGCAGAAAAAACAAATTAGGTAGGATGAGAACTGCATTTGAATATATATTCTGCATATTATAAATATATTTCTGTATGTAACTCTGATATAGCATTATAACAAATTAAATGCCTGATAAAATTCAAGAGGCAAAGGTAATTCATCATACCTGTTCATCTCATCTTCCATTTGCCGAAGTTTGTCATCCATATCTGCAAGTTAGTTGTTGACGAAACAGAAATATTTTTTATATATACATGCGCGTTTATCTGGGGCCAGGTTTTCCGATAAATAGAATAAATTAATTTCTTCTCGTAAGAAAGGAATCTTAGATAATAACTTCAATGCTATTTCAAAGTTCGAATCGTTTCTTCTTCTTGTTCTTTTATAACTCCCTTGCTTGAATTTCTGACCCAAAAGGAGTAGCTCGAATCACTTAACCCAAACGGGCTGCAAACGGGCCAGAATAATTGAGAATGATTTCCATTACTTCTTTTTCTTCTTCTGATATTTCCTTTATTGGTTTTCCGACTCAAATATAGAGCCACAGTACCATGCAAAATAATTGCAACCATGAACGCGACCAATATTCTAAGATCTTTTTGATAATCTCCTCGGAGAGCAGTCAGCAAAGGCCTCAATTTCTATTACTCAGGGTGTTATTACATGAGTGCGGAAACACGGAAATACGGAAACGCGCAACCAATCAGTAATCGGTGAAACGCGAAACTATAACAGCGGATTGCTTCTGATTGGTTAAGCGTTTCCACATTTCCGCGTTTCCGCGCTCATGTAATGGCACCCTTAGCCCGGATTCTCATACGGGCAACAGCGCTCTGACACCGAACGCTGATTGGCGAAAAGCCTGTTGCAGAGGTAAATTTTACCCCTACAACCGGCTTTTCACCAATCAGCTCTTGGTGTCAAAGCGCTGTTGTCCATTTCAAGTTATAAGCAGAGCTGGGTATTTTTGCGTTTAAAATGCCATTTAAAATGTAATTCTATTTAAAATGCTAAATGTAAAATACTTAAAAAAATGTATATTAAAATGTATGTA